TGTCCGTTTCCTTCTTTTACCTCCCTATTTGTGCTTGCTCAAATAGGATTCTTCATATTTTTGATGTGCCAGTGGAAACTTAGAAGCCAATGTGACAGCAAATAATAGGAACAAACACATTCAAATATCTAAAATGTTTCTACTCTGTATGCCAAAATGATCCAAGCTGTAACTTATGCAAGTTCAAAGGACTTTGGACCACAGAAATTGATTTGGCTTAGCAAGGCTAGATGAGGATTGGCATTTATCCAAAGTAGGAATTTTAAAAAAGCACTTGGCAATACATGAAACCTACACGAACAACAATGAAGCATACATATTTTAAGATGTATTTTCTCAAAGAATGAAAAGAATTTATTTCACTTTCTTTTGGAATTGGCTCATGACAACTGTTTGATTAAACTACTGTCTAACCACAACAGTTAGCATGATCTGGAGAGAGTTATAATCCAAAATATTTAGTATGGGGCTTTAATCCTAACTTCTCCAAATAATCCAATATTGTTATATGTACATGTTAAGAAGTATTGAGAAAATGTCACTGAGTAACAGATGGAGTGTGCAAAGGTCACTGCTGTTGCCATTTTCTCACAAGCTGAAACTGAAAAATGAGAATATGGGTACAATTTATTTATTGTCAAATTTATATAGCCATCCATTTTACAAAGCAAGTGACTCTGGACGGTGTACAACAAAGCTAAAAAACATTAGTTACTAAACATCAAACAATTATTGTTGTTGTTGTTATTATTATTATTGCAAACATATAAAAACAAAGCTAAAAAGAAGAAAATTGGTTGAAGGGACATTAATAATAACAGAGCCATTTCAATAATTCACCAGTCCCCTGGGGTCCCCAAGTCTTGAGAAATTTTCAGAAAGTCAAAAGTGATGAAGCCCACCCTCATTTCGGTGGGGAGGATATTCCATAACATAGGGGTCACAGCAGAATACACCCATTGCCTACAGCCCCACCAAAAGTAGCTCCCTAGCCAATGGAACCACTACCATGCTCCCTCTGTTGGATCTGATGGGACAGGCAGATGGAATTGGGGAGAAGCTGTCCCTCAGATATCCCCGTTCCATTCCAAAAACTATATTGCTGTATCTAACTATATCTGCCAACTTCTGCAGCTATTAAAAAAGCTCCTACTTTTATTGCCAACTAACCTGTTCCTTGATGGAGACCTAGAACATTTAAACAACTGATAAACAATTCTTCATTCTTGGGCTTAGCAGCTTGTAATCCCAGGACTAAATCAACTTTGTAGATCCTATCTGCTCATTGCACTCAGTTGCCTTCACAATGGCAAAAGAGAAAGCATGTGACTTGTGTTTAAATGAATTAGTCAGTGTATGCTTCTAAAAAATACTACTCCTTGTGAGATTCCCCAGATAATATCAGCTATAATGCTTCTTGGTCAATGTCATAGTCAGAGTTGTTTCTCATATATATATTTATACTTTCTGATATATTTTCTATGATCTATTTTCCCCATCTGGGCCCTTTATTTAATCATAAGAAGTGTAATATTTTGACAGTGCATGTACAATTCAACCCCTGTTTTCTTTGGTTATTTTTTAATTATATTAATTATAAATGTCATTGAGCTTCTCAACCCCTTTGGATCAAGTATGAACTTTAGCATCGCACACCGTTTATTTTTAAAAAGTGCCAATATTACCCTCTTTAAGCTCAGTTCTAACCCAAGAACTGTTTTCTTACTGTTCTGCCCTGTGCTGACCTATGCTAATCCCAACTAAATTGAACCTAATAGAGCTCATTCACTTCAACGTAGACTAGTTGTGGAATGTAATCACAATAATACAATTAAATCTATACCCAGGACCCCGCTTCCCCTCAAAACTGGAAAATTATATCAGCCGTACATAAACTTGACATAACAATTCAGTGCTACAGTTCAGCCAACATAACTAAGGAAGGCCGAGAATTCTACCCACCAGTATTTAATGAGCACATGTTTTTCTGTGCTACCAACCCAATCACATTCCTCCTGGCTGGGCAGATCAAATGTTGGAGAGTTAATAATAAAGAGCTTTGATGTACTGATGTCAGAACAAAAATGAAATGATCTTGAAGTAGGGGTGTAAAAAGTGTTTAAAAAGTTAGCCTAGACCTGGGGAGACCCTTGTTGTAATCCCAGAGGATTTTGGGCCAGCCTCTCTCTCCCTTTCTCCCTCAGATCAACTATTTCTAAGAGTTGTTGTTACGAGGGGAAAAAAGGGAAGAGGAAATACAGTATACACTACCCTGAGTTCCTAAAGGAAAAGTGAGATTGAAGCAAAGGAGCAAGTACCACACAGGCAAAAGCTATGGGTGTCTTCTTTTTTTTCCTCAACAACAGACAACATAGTGGTTCATGCTGCAGTTTAAGAATGTGCTTGATTTAAGGATTTTTTTTTCCTCTGAAAAGGCACAGATTATCTAAATAAACAACAACAACAAGAAGAAAAACCCTGCAAAACATCTTGTCATATTCCTTGCTCTAGGAGTGCTACTCAGAGGGATTTGGGAATTTCTGGCTCCTTTGCAACTATGGGTTTGTCCCAGCGGATCTTAATCCCAGTTCACACAAGCAGGTGTGTGTTAGATCAGAGTAGATTTGGAGGATCTGAGGATGGATGGTATTTTTTTTTATCCATCTTGTGCTGCAGTAAACTCATTTTTTTGTCAAGTTGTAGACTGCTGGTGCTCTTTATGTCTGGGAGGATGGGTGACTAGTTAGGATAATATGAAGCCAGGTATCTGAGGGACCCTGGTGGCTTTCTGAATGCATTTGGGGATTTTTCCAGTGATTTTATAGGCAATTTCGTCATACATCTGGGCAATCTTTGAAATACAAGTAGTCTTCAACTTATCACCAGAGTGAAGATCAGAACTTCCAGTGCTTGGTGATACTATCATTAAAGGATTTTACAATATATTTGTCAGAGTTGTTAAGCAAATTATCATGGTCATTAAATAAATCACACAATCCTTAAGCTAATTTGGCTTCTTTGGTTCCCCATTGCTTGTCAGAAGCCTCTTGGGAAGATCACAAATGGCGATCATATGACCCCAGAAAATGGCAACAGTTATAAGTACATGCCAGTTGCCAAGTGCCTGAATTTTGATGATGTGGCTGCAGGGACAATGCAGTGGTTGTGAGTAGAAGAAGTGGTCATGGATCACTCTTTTTTTCAGTGATATCATCATTTCGAATGGTATTAAATGGTCTTAAAGTCAAGGCCTACCTGTATAGAAAGGATTAGGGCAGAGGTCTTCAAGCTTGGCAACTTTAAGACTTGTGGACTTTAAATCCCAGAATTCTGAGAGTTGAAGTCCACAAGTCTTAAAGTTGCCAAGTTTAGGAACCCCTGGATTAGGGCGTTGGACAAGATTGCTCCCATGTGCCTCTCTACAGTTGCTTATCCTTGGGGAGCGGGTGTCTTTCATTTACTGAGGCAATTTGGAAAATAAAGCTACTACAGATATGCCTGGAATAATCTTGGCAAAGGAATCATGGACTGATTATGACTGAATACCAATAAATGCCCAGATTTGGGCCTCCACCATGATGATAAAAACAGCAAAGCATGAATAGTTCTGCAATCTTCTTGCATCTGTAGATAACCATCCAGTGATCCTGCTCAGAATTACTTAGACCTGTTACGGAAGGAAAGGCAAGACAAACTCTAGCAGAGTGATCCCCAATCTTTCCAGCTTGGTGGCCCAGCTCAGTGTGGTGTGTGTGTGTGTGTGTGTGTGTGTGTGTGTGTGTGTGTGCAAGTGGCATCTGTAAATGGAGTTTCATGTGTGAGTGAAGGATGCTTGACCAGAGGGCGCTTGTGCTCATGTGCGAAGCTCCACTCACACGAGTGTAGAATGCTCATGTGTGAAGCTCCATTTACGCAAGTGGAATTTTGCATGCGCACCCTTACCTATCAGCCACCCAGTTTCGAACAGGCCATGGCCTGGGGGTGGGTGGGTGGGGACCCCCTGCTGTAGCAGACTGCTAAAATAATGTCTGTCAGTTCCTTTTCAGATTTAGTCATTTGCATTTGGTTGGGTTGAATGCCAGCTGAGTGTGATCTAGCAAGATAAGTGGGGCAACCTCTTGCAAAGGGATCTAGTTCAGCCTGAGGAGGTTGAGAGGATATTTTCTGACATCATCAGGAAATTGGACAAATGCCCAGCCTGGATGAATGGATTGATATGGGTGGATCTTTGGGATTCAGGAGTTATTAATATCTCTTGATGAGGGAATTTTTCCAAACAATGTCCAGAGACTTATTTGGGCATGCCTCAATGTAAACTTAGTTACAGAAAAACACATCACTATAGGTGGCTGAGATACTAGAATTAGCTTGCTAATTGAGGTGTACAGAGACAATCTAGCTGGTGACTGAATCCTAAAAAAAAACAGGGTAACTGTTTCCTTGGTGCTAGGAGTGTTTTGTAACATCTTACTACAAGATTTATTTTCCTTCTGTTCAATTGTCCAATTCAGAGACTGCTTGGACAAGTCTTTGAAGTTTTCTTGGCAAGGTTTTCAGAAGTGGTTTGCCATTGCTTTCTTCCTACGGCTAAGAGAGAGTGACTGGACCAAGGTCACCCAGCTAACTTAATGCCTAATTTGGGATTAGAACTGATGATTTCCTGCTTTCACCACTACATCAAACTGGGTCTCAGAACAAGATTAGCATAAACTTAATTTTTGCACCATCTTCCATATTAAAAGCAGTTAATACATACTTAGTAATTACTTTAACTTCTGTAAAATATTCATTGTTAGTCTTATATTGTGAACATACTGTAGATAGAACAGGAATGATGGGTGGGTGAAATCAGTAGCAATGTTTTAACCAGTCTAAGAAAGAATATGGATGGGAGATAAATATTAGATAAAGGAGGATTTTTTCTCACTCTGACATGTGCTTTCCTGCAGGCATGGATGAGACACAATAGATGCCAACAAATGCAGGTAAGTCACTTATATTCACACATCTGACTGCCTTGGGGTTGGAATGCTGTCATAATCGTCTGAATAGGTCAGATGGTGATTGGTGAGAAGAGGCTGGTGCTCCTCCTGTCTCCTGGAATACACAAAACAAGAGGCTGCAGCGAATATAATTGCAACCAGGATCAAAGCAGCAATTATGGCAATCGTTATGATTTCAGTCACATGGAGAGCTGGAGCTGAAAGAAATGGAGAAAACACAAAGAAGAGTGTCAGTTCTGTGAGCTGTTAACCCACTTGTGAATTTATTTTTAGACAATGTGGAAGTTAACTGAATTCCAATAATTTCAGGATCTTATGGAGTCTGAATTCAGTTCAAAACTTTAGCTATTTACTGAGTTTCCGGTTTGTCGGCTTCGCGAGCGGTAGGGATTCGTGAAGCTGCGCGATCCCTGCCGCGCTAGCCGTTTTGGGGCTCCGACCCGGACGGGTGCGGAGCAAGGCTGCCCTGCAGGGGTAGCTGAAGGTAAGGGGGATCCGGAGGAAGGGTCTGGGGGTGTTGCAGACCCCCTCCCTGGCCGGCAGAACCCCCTTTTACCAGGACGGTGCAGCGGCGGTCCGCAATGGCCGCCACAAAGAAGTCGACAGCCGGGCAAGTATGCGCAGGAGGAAGAAGAGAAAGTTATTGAAAGTGAAAGTTCTTCTTGGTCGACCCAGGGCTTTGAGATTTATCTAATTTAATTCCTGGAAAAGATGTTTTTTTGATGATTTTTTCCACAAGAGAAAAAAAAGCGGCTATTTTGAGGTGCTGAAAGGAAAGTTTACTCTTCCTCCCGACGGAATTAAGCCGGAAGGGAGAAGATAAAGAAAATATATAAACTTGGATTTTGTTGGAGGAGATGCCTTGAAGATTTGAGGACAGAAATATAATTTTAATAAGGCTTTAAAATATAGATTTGGACTTTTTTTTTTATTTGTTTGATACCACCCCTGGAAGAGGAAGGGGGAATTTTGGCTTGCTTGGATTTATTGAGGATTGTGGATTTTGGGATTGTCTTGCCTTTCTCTCGGAATATTTGGTTGGTGTAAGAAGAAAGAGGAATAAAGAAAAGAAAAGATTTATTTATAATGGCTTTCCTTTTTGAAGACCTGAGGGATGAATATGAGCAAATAAAAGCAGCCTGCAAAGATGGCATGGAAAAAGCTTTTCTATTTCTAGAAATGGCGCTGGTCAATTACCAACAGACAATGGAACAGATGGAAACGGAAGAAGAACAACAAGGAAGAGACGAAGACGCCATCTTCATTGAATCCCAAAACTTATCTAAGGAAGAAGGAAGGAAGAGAGCAAGGAAAATGAAGGACTTAAGATCAAAAAAAACATTTGAGAAAGAGAAAAATATGATGCAAAGCAAATATAATGATAGCAAACAAGAGAAAAAGGGAACACAACAGAGAAGGGATCCCAGCAAGGCAGAGGTTAGAAGAAGAAGGGGGGGTAGGAAGATTTGGTGGGGGAAGAAAGAAAGGGGAAAGGCGGAGAAAAGCCTCAAAGCTTTAAAATTGGATGGGAGAAGAGGGATTTTTTTTAGAGACAAAGGATGAAATATAAATTTTTGTAAGAAAGATTCTGCTAAGGTACAGAAGATGGTATTGTAACATTTATATTTGAAATAGTAAATTAGAATGGTTTAAGATTTAATAAGAAATTAAAATGTTGAAGTTTTTAATAATGATTGATTTTTAAAATGTAATAAAATATCGAAGGAAAGGAGGATACAATGTATTTAAATATTTTTGGTGGATAGAATGTACCAAGCAGAACCAAATTGGGTATTTGTTATGTTGAATGTTAATTTTACTAACTTAGGGGGAGGATAGAAAGGCATCATACTCTGATTAGTGATTTCAGGAGAAATTCTTTTTACTATAAGAAGAGATAGAGGGATAATGAATGGGCAAAAGATACAAATTTAATGATTTATTAAGATGGATTAAATAAGATAGAATTGTGAAGAGTGATATGCGCTATTATTTTAGCCCATGCAAAGAGAGGTAACTGGGGCCAAGGTACTTTACTAAAAGATTTTTTTATGTTTGTTTGTCTTTGTTTGTGTTTTATGAGAATATTGGGGAAATTATTGTAGAAAGACAGGGAAAGATTTAATATGTAATGATTTGTTTGTTGTTGAAACTTTTAATAAAACTTGTTTTAAAAAAAAAAAAACTTTAGCTATTTACTCTGTAATATAAACCCATGAAATGAAATGAAAGCTTTTGGTAACATTACTAGAACATATCATGTAGCCAACTCAGAAAATGTGTTTTTCCTTACTATAAACCAAGCTGTTCATCAAATCAAGACACTGCGATATTTAATTTATTTGTCTTATGACAAATACATATATTTGTCTATATTTTTGATCAGCTGATTCTGATGCTAAAAAGGAGCATTCACTATTTATCAAATACCTTTTTCCTAAACAGATCAATCAAAATATTTAGATTTTAAAAACCACATATTTGACACTTAGCCTGATTAGTATTTAATGGTCCAAACCAGTCAAAGAAGCTGCAAAAATCAGTACAGCCCATGATGGTTATTTTGCACATGACATATACACAAATAATAAAGTTTCTTTTGATCTAAGAGAAAAAGAAATAATGTGCTACATGATGAAGAAATTACATAACTTACCTGGCCACTGAACTTCATAACTGTAGCCCAGGTTTTCTGGTGCTGTAACAAACATCTCATCATTGGTTACAGGAGGCCAAAATGGTACCATATTGTACTGTCTATTGTGTCCAATTGGGGCATTTTCTAATGGGTATGTTGAGTTATCTAAAGAAAAGGAAGTAACTATTAAAGTTTGAAAACTTGGAGTTAAATACTTAAATGGCTTTTCAGAAAAACTGATTTGACATTATTCATGGCTGATTATAAAACAATACTAAATGATAGATTAAACAACAGCATCTGCCTATCTATATCCTTGGGAAAGACTTGATAGATGGACAACAATGCCAAATCCAGTATAAACAGCAGGCTGATTGTATGACCAGATGTAATCTTCACCTAATAACAGCCAGCTTCCAATGTTATTTGGTTAGTTAATGGACTGACAATCTATGGATTATTTTAATAATAGAGTCATGACTGACATGCAAATAAAGTGAAGCTTTTAGTCCTGAATCAATGTTTAATACCACCTTATAGGACAACCATCCTTCTATAAATGCCAAATATTACAAAGCTTAGAATAGATTACGAACAAAACCAGTTAATATTCTATAATAATGTAGGTTGAGTGAATCAAAGATTTGTAGTTTTGTGTGTGTGTGTGTGTATTTCTAAACCATTAAGGTGTCTTAAATGAATCACAGTGGTGCAGTGATTAGAATGCACTTCTGCTGACTATCGGCTGCCTGCAATTTGGCAGTTCAAATCCCACCAGGCTCAAGGTTGACTCAGCCTTCCATCCTTCCGAGATGGCTAAAATGAGGACCCAGATTATTGGGGGCAATATGCTGACTCTGTAAACCGCTTAGAAAGGGCTGTAAAGCTCTGTGAAGCAGTATATAAGACAGTGGTGGCTAACCTTTTTGGGCTCCTGTGCATGCCAGCACCCAGAAGGCAACGTGCGTGGTCCCCCACACCTCCTGCACACATGTGCATGATCCCCCCCCCCTCTGCCCCCTTACCTGCACTGTGCCTCCCAGCTGATTTTTGGCTCATTTGAGGCCTTTTTCAGCCTCCCAGAGGCTCAAGGGAAGCCTCTGCAGCCTTTGGAGGCCAAAAAATGGACCCATTTCATCATTTCCAGTATTTCCGGAAATACGGGAAGTGATGAAACGGGCCTGTTTTTCGGCCTCCAAAGTCTGCAGAGGCTTCCCTTGAGCCTCTGGGAGGCCAAAAATCAGCTGGGAGGCGCGTGCATGCACAGTGAGGTAAGTTTGCATGTGGCACATGTACCATATCATGGATATAAGTCTAAGTGCTATTCCTATTGCCAATGCAACTATAAATTTTAACGTATTATGTTGGAGTCTAGCTGTGAATCTTTCATAGAACTTTCATATTGAAAAGTATTCTAGAACACATTCAAAAATAAGGATACACTCCAGATACTTTGAATAACAATTCCACAACCCTTTGATGATGATCATGTAGATTGAGACTGATGGAAGTTGAAATCTAGGTTATTATCCTTGTTATAAGGAATTTCTCCAACTCATGAATATTTGTGTTATTCACAAAGTATCACTTTTGCCTCATGGAAGCTGAACATTTATTCATTCTGGACATTCATGTGTGGATATTGATCATGGGTACAATGAATTAAACTGGGCCGATACTTTGTCAACTACTTTATCCTGTATTAATTGTCTCCTGACATAATCTTGTGAGACTCACCATGCCTTTCCATCTTTCAGTGCATCTGAAAGCTGTTGCTCTCAAGGTACTGTCCCTAAAAGTTTCTTTTTATCATCTTTTTTTTTATTCTGTAAGACAAGACTGACAAAAAACCAACTAACTTCTACAAAGCCAGTTCCTTTCAGCTGTCATTGCTCAGCAAAACATGGCATGAACTTAAGGAATTCTCCTGCAGGAACAAACAATCATATGAATCTTAAGAAATACCATTTGACTTGCTATTAAAAACACACACAGAGCATTGCTCTAAGATTTTTTTTAAAGATTGCCTTCAAATGTATACCCTACAACAGAGTGTGTATTGTTTTGCTTTTCTTTTGGGAGATGGAAATACAGAGAGCTACACATTCGCTGGAAGTTAGGAGACGTAAAATAAAAACAAAAACGTTAGCATTGCTGTTTCTTGGATCTGCTGATGCAAGGAAATACCAGAAGAGCTTATGATCTTCTGGTGTGATTTATCCTTTTATCAGCAATATATACAGTAATTCCTTTTGGGGGCTAGATTTTATTCTGCTTCTAGTAAGGAGAGATAAAGGACGCAGTCGCGGTTTGCTGCTGTGGGATCTTAGCAATCTTCTTTACAGAGACAGAGAGATGGTTGCCTGGATAATTTATCTCAAGCCTTGCCTTGGGTATGGATTGTACCTCGGATTCTGTACAGAGGAATAAGATAAATCCAGACTTCTCACCAGGGTTATGCCTTCTCAGCCATTCATCAAAAACAGCATCTGTAAACGTGTGGAGGAGGACAAAAATGGGATCATTTGGGGATAAATGAGTTTGGCCTCCAGTTCCATTCAAAAACAGATGAGCCAGATTGTGAAGGCTTCGCACCGCTGGATCATATTTTCCTGAAGGATTGCTGTAGCCTAGACATAAGAATAAAGAAGAGGGGAACAATTGAGAAGCAATTCCGGAAGTCTTTTGCCCGTTCTAGCTAAGCTCAATCCTACCTAGCAGAACATCAGAAAACTGTCTTGATCTTCTCCACCAAAATTGCATTGCTAAAAAGCTAGGCCAGTTTTATGAAAAAAACGGATCATCCCACAGCCCAGACAATAGCTTCCTGTTTCACAAGGACAGATAAGTGTAAGATCAGTGATTCTTAGCAATATATTACAATAGGCCTGGCTCAGACGATGGTTGCACAAAATGAGGTAAAGCACATGGATTGTGAAGACAAAGTAGGGAGGGAGGGAGAATGTGTTTTCCAGCCTTGAATAAAACAATTACTTTGTATATAGGCCAGACAAGGAATAATGGATGAAAACTGATCAAGGAGAGATTCAATCTAGACATAAGGAGAAATTTTCTGACACTAAGAACAATCAACCGATGGAATAGCTTGCCTTCGGAAGTTGTGGGAGCTTCATCACTGGAGGCTTTCAAGAAGAGATTGGACTGCCATTTGTCAGAAATGGTGTAGGGTCTCCTGCTTGGGTGGGGTGTGGGGGTGTGGGGGTGTGGGGGTTGGATTAGATGACCTATAAGGTCCCTTCCAACTTTGTTAATCTGTAATAGTAATAGTATCAACTTGGCAATAATATAGCTGAAATCTGTGTGCAATTTAATAAATATGGGTGCTCTTCTGCTCTCCAGGGGACAAGGTGTTTTTTTTTTAGTTCTTTAGCTGTCTTTAGAAGTGGCTTTGGGCTTCTGAAAATCCCAACTAGCACTCTAGATTCTTGGCATGTATGAATCTTGATTGTTATTTAGCCCAATGTTAAGGTGAAGTTAGGTGGCTATTATTAAGAGTGAATAAAATTAAATATTTAATATAACGTATTTAGCATCCTGTATATTAATTCCTTGCAAATTCATTCTTGCAATATTATTATGCTTTTTAAAACACACTTGTGAATCAGCTCTGTCTAGGTTCTGTGGTACTTTTCATTCTTGGAACTCTGTCTTTAAATATGTGTCTGGTGGTGTTTTTTTTTTTTAAAGCTTTCTATCAAAGAGAGGGAGAGAGAAAGAGAAAGGGAGGGAGGGAAGGAGAGAGAACTCACATACATACATACATACATACATACATACATGTATGTCCCAAAGGTGCTTTTTCAAGAGGCAACTGGACTTTCTGTTGTTTTTTTCCTTGAAGACGTTTCGCTTCTCATCCAAGAAACTGAAGACGCTTCTTGGATGAAAAGTGAAACCTCTTCAAAGAAAAAAACACACAGAAAGTCCTGTTGCCTCTTGAAAAAGCACCTTTGGAACAACCATGACCTGGATAACTGAGAACATCCACAGACATTATATACATATACATATAGATACACACACACACACACACACACACACACACACATATAATTAATAAATAACCTTAACCGTACAATGCTCCCTAAGTGTAGTCTTGAAACTAGATAAAACTGAAGTGACTGTGACCAAATTTAAGTCCACATAAATAATTTCACATTAATTTTTCTCAGCCCTTTTCTCTTCCACCTCTTCTCCATTTGCTATTGATGTTAAGATGGTACCATGTCTCAGCAAAACAACAATACCCTTTTAATTTTGCTTGCATAAAATATCCATGTTGTTCAAGATGCCAGAACCTGCATAGTTAATTAAAATTGGGAGTTCACACTTTCATATGAGGTGTTGATGACTTCAACTGCAGAAGCCAACGTGGTTGTATCAAAATATATTGTTCTACATATGCAATAACACAAGGAAAGGTGATATAACCAATTATTTTCCAGATATTTCCCAGATGATCCTTTTTGTAGAGTTGAGACTGAGATGACATTCTCATCAACTGAAATAGGATTGTATGTTTTACTGATCAGTCTTGTAGGTGAAATATATTGAGCTGTTCGATCATGTCAAGTACTGAACTGTAATATTGTATTGGATGGGACTTCTCTAAATGTGATACAGGTAAAAACACCTGTGGACACGCCTGTTATGATGGCTTAGATAGACTAACCATAATTCTCCTCTGAGACAAAAAGCCAGTATTGTTCAATGAGTAGTCAGTAAATGAGGTCTACCTGTATTTCTCTTCTGATGAATTGAGTTTCTGAATTGTTTGCTGCTGGTGATTGTTTTCTGACTTGGTTCCATATCTTAACATAATGATAGGTATACAACCTAGACTGGACCTGTGTAAATGATTTGTCCAGTTGGGGGACATAACATATTTAACTGTATTCAGTCAACATATTTAACTAAATAAAAGTTGATTGGTAGAATTGCTTAATTTAATGAATTAGGTCATGTTGATTTTATCTCTGTACATTAATAAAGTCCACTTTGCACAATAAAAATGAGGTCTCCTATAAAACTAAGATTATATTACCAAAACCTGATGGTAAAATAGCTGAACTTCACCAGCAGCATTTCAAAGCAGTTTTCAAGTTTTAACAGGGTTTGAAGGATGGCAAGAGTAGTACCTTATTTCCCTGAAGCTTCATGTTTCTATTCTCACTTCAACGTAACCCCGAGGACTATTATGGGTCTACTTCCTGAAATGGTGTGTGTATAACTTAAAGGATGGGAATTTTAGAAGCTTGCATCTCAAAGGTCTCCATATCCAATCCCATTTGCACCTTTAATTCCAAGAGACACTCCCTGTCCCCCAATTTTAGCCTTTCATTATCCAGAGACATCTCTAAATGGTCTTCTGGACCCACCAGAAAGTTGGAAGTTCCCATTTGGCTCCAGACCTCTTAGAGTTGGGCTACCCTGAGGCTTGATAAATCATGATCTGATGATGGGTAAGATGTTTGCTGTGGCCTATATTCATCTGCCTATGTGCTGTGTAACATGTATGGCCTCCATATAATATAATATAATATAATATGGCGAGAGATGGACATTTGAGTATGTCACTGCTTTTAACAAGGTCAAGAATATGCTATGCTTTGAAGTGTTTCTTAATTTTTTAAAAAATCATTTCCTGAGGCAAAGTATCTTAGCCTCGAATAATATTACTTGCTGATGTTGAATAAAGCCAACATTTGCTTTAATTTCACCCATCACTGGTAGGGCCACTGATTTTGAGAAAACCTCCTGAATTCAATAAAGGAATTCCCTCACATCCTATTTGTTTCCAGATTTGAAAAATCAGATAATGAATCTTGGGGATGATTACTTAAATTTCTTTTCCCTCCCACTAAAGGATTTGAACCATTTGTTTGTTTGCTTGCTTTTACCCACGTCAACGTTAGGAGTGTGGTGCATTTCACCTTTGGCTTCAAGAGTTTGTTTGCTTTGGAGTGACTTGCCTTCAACAGTGTTACGGAAACTGTCTGCTGAATTGGAGTAGAATGGAGGCGTGTCAAATAATCCGACTTCTAAGCAAAGAGCAACATCCTCAGCTTTTGGAAGGCGCTGCACCAGAGGACGGGCGACATTTCCAGCTGGATTGCGTCTAATTGGACCACCTTCTGTGCCTGACATTTGGAAAAACAAAACAAAAACAGGGGTATGAGGGTGGGGGAATAAAATTAAATGGATTATCAGGTTAACCTTATAATCTAAGAAATAATGCAGGGAAGGCATCTTAAAGAAAAAGCATCCCACGTTCTTCATTTTTGGTTAAGAACCACTCACAGTCAATGTTGCATACATAACCTGCTGAATATCTTTTATTTTCCCAAAGGCCACTTATCGTATGGTAAATATAGAAAATATATAGGAGATTTATGCATGCTCTGTCCACTTGGTTGTGCTCAATTGTTATGTTTTCCCCCCCCCTCTAATTGTTACTTTATTCCTCTCTATTTATGCATTGGTTTCTCCCAAAGCAGGCTGGATTTAAAAAAAAAATGGTATTAATTTGCATTTACATTGTTTCCCTATATGTACATTTTTGGTGTAGATATTTTGAGCTGTGGATGAAACTCGAGAATTCCAAATGTGCAGCTGTTGATATAGAAAGGGTATACTAGATTTTACGTAAGTTTGAAGAGGGTAACACAGGATCACTAAAACATAAAACATTAGTCTGAATAGATTTCTTCCCTTTCTTTGCTACTTTGGGGCTTTTATAGTAGAAGGAGGTTGATAGCAATATCACTTAGGTTTATAAAAGGTAATAGAAATCATTGTGATATATAAAAGTACAGTAAGGCCTACTTTTAAGACATTGAGACAGAAAGATTATTAATTCTTATTTAAATTTTGCTTCTGCCATTAATTCAATCAATGGCCTTAGATTATAGATGTAATGATGAGACACTAGGGCAGTGTTTCTCAGCCTTGGCAGTTTTAAGCAAGATGGATTTCAACTGAATTCTGGGAGTTAAAGTCCACCCATTTTAAAGTTGCCATGGTTGAGAAACATTGTGCTTGAGTCCCATTTATTTCCTCAACCTATTGGACATAGCACATACAGCCTCTGTAAAATGTTATTGCAAAATTTTAACTTTTAATGAAATAGTAGGGGGAAAATTAACATAGGGAAGAACCATAGCTAAGACATTTTTAAAGTGAATAAAACTATTGGCTTTTTTTCTGGACTTACCCAGTTTTCTCTTTTGAACTCTGTCCATGTTTTTGAAATTGGGGCCTCAAAGCGTGGATCTCAAACCGATGTATCCCAGAAAAAAGCTAGACATTCTGGAATAAGTCTTTCTCCTTAGTTCTAGATTGGACCTCACCTTGATATGTTTCCACCTGTTATTTCTTGTCCTGTCCTCAGGTGCTTTGGAGAATAAATTGAGCCCCTCTTCCCTGTAACAGCCCCTCAAATATTGGAACACTGCTATCATGTCACTCCTAGCTCTTCCCTTCATTAGACTAGACATAAATTTGAAAGAAAGCAGAATTTTCCTCAATATTCAAAATTGGAAGTGTTTCACATGAGAGTGAACTTGATTAATGATAAAAAGTGTTCATGTCCTCTGAATGAAACATGTAATGTTTTGTGTGTATTGGTGTTGTGGTTAGTCGACAGCAGGTGTGGACGGCTGAGGAGAGCGAGGACTCAGATGAGGGGCCAGGACCATTAGGGAGTGGACTGCTGCCTTTAGAGATTGTGGGGGCTGGCAGAGATTGTGGGGGCTGATGAGGAGGTTCCTGAGGAGCCTGTGCCAAGTGTGCATGTGCGCAGGATTGCTCGCAGGAAAGAGGAGCTGCAACAACACGGGCGACTTGAGAGTAAGGCTGCAAGGTAATGGCCCCTCCTTCAAGAAGATAAAAGCCAGCTGTGAAGCAAACATTCTTTGCAGGAAGCAAAGATGTTTTGAAACTCAGCCTCGTGGACATTACAGTATTTTAAGTTGGTATTTGAAGACTCTTGTGTTGTGAAATAGTTCTTATCTGTGATTCTTGGCAGTCTCGTACAGTTTTGGCAAGGTTTGTGCTTATCAAAGTAATTAGTTTGCAGCAGCCTTTTAACCGGAGATTTGTAAGACTCATTGAAAGGTTTCTGTTCCCTTTGGTTATTGCTTGCCTTATTGGAAAAAGGTTTGGGTCAGAACAATGGGTGTGCAATTTGAGGTAAAGATGAAATTAAGCCTGCTAGGTTCCATATATGAACCAAAAAGAACTCTTACATTTCTTTATTACTCTTAAGGAAACTGTGATAACAGCTAAATAGCACTACAAATCTAGGCTTACTGTTGCAAATGGTTCCCAATGTGTCGTAGTCTTCAATAGCCTCACATAAGATGCGCCACTGTGAGAAGATTGAGTTGGGGCTGAGAAGAGAGTCGTCAAAGCTGCTTCTGGATCCCATGAGATCATCTGTACAGATGTCACAACTGTTTCTACCTGTGGCAAAGTTCCAGTAAGGGAGGGCAAAAGAAGGATCCTGTAGCATATTCTGGTGGGTAGAATATGGGATTCATGATGAGCCATGCTGTGTTGCAGACAGAACCACACAAGTCACAAGGAAACACAAGTCATTCTTGGCAGCTTCTTTTCTAGCAGGCCACTACAATCAAGTTTGAACTTTAAATATATGCATCTGAATATGATACTCATTCTAATAAGAGGCTTTTGGTTGAAGAAAATCAGATCCCTATTTACATCCACAAGGAGTGCTTTTGTATACTCAGGATATCTGCAGCCTGGATAGGTCCCTGGTGATATTCAAATGTTTTGAACTACAACTAATTTGACTTTTTTGATATGTATGTGTGTGTGTGTGTGTGTGGTTATGGGAATTTTGAATGATTTTCTATTTAAATAGTTGTCAAACAGCAGGTTGCCTAGGTAATCTGTTCTGACCCAGCTCCTGAAACAGGACAAATTCTCTGATGTGAACTCAAAAGATTCCTTTATTAGGATTGCTGGCAGCCCCGGCAAAAAGTTTCTCTTGCAGGCTAACTAGTCCGTTGGGCCAGAAGATGAATAGTTGTCTGCCACACCTATCCATCTCCACCCCCTGCCTTTTATCCCCAGAGCTAGGGTGGGGCCTTGCTAGCAACAGTGGCTCTTCCTTCCCTAGGATTGGCCCACAGCTTTCCACTGCTCTCCTCTGCCTTCCTCACAGCTGCATGTCAGGCACTAGAGCCAGCTGTTCCTCCCCTTCTTCATCAACCACCTCCATACCTGGGGGCTGTTGATTCTCCATCTGAGGGCTGACGGATGGCCCAGGCTCCACCTCTCTCTCTCTCTCTCTCTCTCTGTGCCAGCTCCATTCCTTCTTCCCCCTCGGAGTTCCCAGGTTGCCCTGATGCTGACTCTGACTCCCATGCCTCCTCCTCCTCCTCTGATTCAGCTGCTGGAGGCCACACCACCATCCAACATTAATTATCTACAGCAGGGGTGTCCATTCTTGGCAATTTTAAGACTTGTGGACTTTAACTCCCAGAATTTCTTAGCCAGCCATGAATTCTGGGAGTTGAAGTATTCAAGTCATAAAAGTTGCCAAGTTTGGACACCCCTCATCTACAGCTTTCCCGGTAGCTTCTTTTAGGCAAGGAATATCATCATTCCTAACTGAAAATGAGGCAGAGCTTGCCTGTTCTTTGATCTGAGACTAAGCGATATAAATAAAAATACTTTACCTGAATATCTCTCTCCAGTTGTAGCAGGTGATATCTGTGCCAAGTGAGAAATGCTGGTCCTTCATGGGAGAAATCTACTCCACCAAAACTTTGCTGTCCAGGCCCAAGATAAGTTTTTCTGACCGAGTAATAATGAGACCACACAAAATAGTTATAAATGGACACATTTTCAAATTGCGGAGTGTTGCCATCAGGACCCAAGATCTCCTCACGTCTCCTGGTTGCAATCATAAAGTCAGGGTGTGTTGTACTTTTGGCTTGCTGTAAGACTCTTAGAAACTCTGTCCTTTCTTCACTAGAAAAATCCAGAAGATTTCGTCTAACTGGAGGTCAAAGAAATAGAATTAAAGCCATATTAAAGACTGAAAATACATGCTTATCAATAACCTGGTTAAAAAGGATCTCAAATCAAATCATGTTTCAACAAGATGTTGTACCTAGAGAAGATGGATAAAAATACTTAAGTATTTTGAAATAAAATATAAAACCAGAATGGGGACTGCACAGAAGTATAGGCTATTGTATTATATAACTTAATTCAATTTTGTTTATAAAGCCAGAGATTTTAAGGTTGGCTTCTATAGCTCGAAAGCATGCAAATGCAAGTAGATAAATAAGTACCACTTTGGTAGGAAGGTAATAGTGCTCTCTGATGTTGTGCTGTCCACATGACCATGGAAATGTCTTTGAAAGCATTGGCTCAATGGCCTTGAAAGGGAGATGAATATCCCTAATAGCTGGCAACGACTAGTGGAATAAAATCTGCAGGGACACCTTTACCTTTTTACCTCTATAAATGATGTGACTATTTTGGGAGCTGGGAATTGGAATAAGCCTTTTGATGAAACCTTTTAGATTTTCCATGGTATAATAAAGAGTTTTAAATTAATACATCATCGCCTCACGCCCCACTGCAGACAAAGTAAATATCTTGTGTATGTAAGTCATTTTATGTAATACAGTTGCTTTCAATTCAGTATACCATTTATGAAGCAAAAAGAGATATACAGGCCATTCTGCAGATACATAGATTAACATATCTCATGAATTTCAAAAAATGTATTTGATGAAGCTCATCAACTATAAGAGGGTTCTAAATTCCACATTTCACTTCATACCATGAATTGGCTTATCAATTAATATGTCCCTTGAGTGTGAATAAATATGGATGTAGGTAAAATGCCCCTTGATGAATTTATTTATCAGATTTATTGGCCACCTATATCACCAAAGAGTAACTGGATGGAATAAGTACATGATAAATTCAGACTTTTTCGGGAGTAGTGGATACACAAAAGATTTAGAGCTGCATTACAAAGAACACATGATGAAGAACATATCTTCATTATCTTTATTCACTATTACAATGCTTAGAAACTTTCCCACACTGCATATTTGGAATGAAGATTTCAGTAAGGGAAAGTTATAGTAATTGATATTTTACATTCACTTAAACAAGCAAACAAACAAGGATAAAACAACAATAATATATTTTCACCATTGCAAATCTTACAGGCACATTGCAATTTGGAAACACCTTTTTATTCTGAATTGGTAAGATGTAGCTGCTTTATGTATTTCTTTGAAGTATTTGCATATCACTAAGTCCACAAGTATCTTTCATGAAGTTAATATATCTCCATCACAGTCGTCGTCTCTATAAAATCACAACCTGACTTTGGTGTCCATGTTCAATGGCCACATTTAAATTTATTAAAATCTTACTTAATAACATCTGGGTAATTTCATATCAATTTCTGTGAAAGAGATCAGTTGTGACTACGCTTCTGAATTCCATCATGGAAAGACTTCATCTGAAACTCTGATAGGAAACTATTTCATAGGGATAATTCATAAAGTAAAAAAAAAAGATCACACCCTTATTTCCCTCCCCTGATCTCACATGGAAAAGATATCTAAACACAGTTTGGAACAACAAATGCACACAGCAGGAGGTAATAGCTTACCCAGATGCCACGCAATAAACAAAATCAACTCAAATTGTACTCAGAAGCTTATTGGAAACTACTGTGGCACACCAAAAAACCACTATTTTATGACATGGATAGCTGTCTCTTGCCCGCAAGAGATTCCCAAACTCTGCACCAGCTGCAACTTCCCAATCCCATGGAACACACATTTCAGTCAACAATTTTAAATATGATAAAAGTGTTAGTATTTATTGTCAGGATCTCATTCAGGAAGGGCTGAAGACAAAGCCTTCTCAAGCTACAACCTCCACTATCTGTCTAGCATTAGCTGTGAGTCTAGGAGGATCCCTAGTTGTGGATTTTTTATTTTAGCAACACTATCTCCCCAATTTTATTATTACTTGGGCAAGAAAAGGGTCAAATATCTTCTGGACAAACAATAACCCTGTTTTTCAGGGATTCAAACTCAGTTTCTACCCATCCCATTTCTATTGGTCTGAAGCCAATTCCATCGCATTCCTGGATAGGTTGGAAGTAGAAATGTATAGCCGGCATACTGATGATTCTTCAACCCAAACTGGTGAATGACTTCTCCAAACATCTTCATGTATATATTAAAGAACTGTTATAAGAGTGTAATGGATTGGGTACTGCAGCAGCATGGGGGGGGGGGGATTTTGGCAGCTCAGAGCTTTCTTAGAAAGAGTCCCAGATAAAGAGACTACACTGTCACGAGTTGGATAGGAGAGGAGGGAAGTTGTTCAGTGCAACCACACCCTAGTATCTCTCAAGATATATTAAATAGATTAGAAATTTATAGCTTTAGTTTGGCAAGAGTCTGTCTATTAGATGTCTAACACATTGACGTCAGGTCCAAGCCAAGAGATGAGACAGTGAGATCCAACTGAATTCAACCCTTTATTTGCTTAAACCTAAATACAGGTAGTCCTTGACATACAAGAGTTGATTTAATTACTGTTCAAAGTTACAACAGCACTGAAAAAGTGACTTATGATCATTTCTCAAATTTATGACCATTATAGCATCCCCATGGTCACATGATCAAAATTCAGATGCTTGGCAACCAGCTCCTATTTTTTTGATGGTTGAAGTATCCTGGAGTCATGTGAACAGCTTTTGTGACCTTCTGACAACCAAAGTCAATGGGGAATCCCAATTCATTTAACAACCTTGTTACCGACTTAACATGTTCAATGATTCACTGTGGCAAGAAAAGTTATAAAATTGGGCAAAACTCATTTAACAAATGCATCACTGAGTAACATAAATTTTGGACTCAATTGGGGTCATAATTTGAGGACTACCTATATATCCTGAGAGATTTTAGGTTATGGTTACCCTGAATCTCTTCTTTCCTTCCCCATCTAGCTCATGACTTGATCCAGGCTTCTTTCGGGCAAACTCGGAGCTGGCAAAATCCTTCCCGTACTGCTGCTGTAAGTGTACATTCCATTATAGAGAGTAACAAACCATCATTGCTTGGATGACTTTTCTTCCCCACAACCAATTGGTACTATCCACTTAGAAAGGAGTGGAATCACAGTAAAGCAGTGCCTGCAACCCACAACTCTCACAGATGCTACAGAAAAATACCATGGTCAACATCCTTGACCTGCTGAGAGGTCCAAAAGGACCAAGAAGAATGCACTTCTCTTATCAGGTCCTGATAAAGGTCATCCACCAGGATGAATGAAAGTGGATTCTATCCTATAACCAAGCCTGAATGTTGACCAAAAGAAATCCAGATAATCTGCTGCATTTCTCAACATACCCCAATGTAACTTCAGAAAGTTCTAAGAACTGTTCTTTTTAAAAAAAATAAATCTGAATTTTCACTTCTTCCTTGGTTTGTTTTGATTCAACACAAAGCATTTATTTATTGGATTAAATCATAAACTGGGTTTGAGAGGGGTCATTTTTATTGTTCAATGAGAAGCGTAAAAAATGCTGTGGAAAACATTTTTTTTTTTTTACTGTTTTTTGAGATCGTCTCCGATTCATGCAATAATTATTTTCTTCTTACTAAATATTGTTATG